TAGCACCCCACGGCAAGACTTGCCCCAGGCTTGTCGTATATTCCAACTTGGTCGACACAACCCTCACCCTCCACGCACCCAAGTCACACACGCATCACTCTCCCCAATCACCAGCTTCCACCACGCATCAATGTAGTGTAAGCGTAGAAGAAGTAATAAGCAATGAAATATAATAGCAAGCGTGTGACTAGCCTAACAGCAGGGTGAGTAGGGGTAAGGTTGCGTCAAGGTAAAGGCCATCAAGAAAGCATACTACCATGCAAGTCCTACCATAGTGTGATATGACAATAAAGTAAGCACTAGCATTTCTACTTTAGCCATGCGTAATAGGTGCTACGAGATTGGGTGGGATGTGGCACCTTCAGTGTAGTCGTCTCCGTACTCCTCACGGTACTCACGATCCTCGTCCGTCCGGTTTTCCTCCGAGTCTGCAAACGACCGCATTATAGTCGCGTTAGCGACGTCTATAGAATAACACAAAGAAGCAATGAAAATTCAAAAGAGCCAAATGCACTCAAACATGGGTCCATTGTGTAGAGCTCGATTTTAGATGAATTTTGGTTCTGGTTTCATATTTTTTCCGAGGTATTATGAATTAGTTATGAATTTCTGAAGATTAATTCCATTTCTGAAAATGAAAAAGGCTGAATTAATCCTAGGCCAACATGTGTCACGCTGTGGTTGGTCCACGTGGCTTGCTGATGTCAGCATGACGTCATCAACGTCATGCTCACCGACAGGTGGGGCCAAAGGCTATTTGGGTCACTGACAGGTGGGTCCGGTCAAGTCAACGTCGGTCAACGTTCAGGGTCACTGACGTGTGGGTCCCGCGTGATGTCGTCACGACGCCAGCATGACGTCATCGTCCGACGTGTGGGTCCAGCAACATTGTGTCGCTGACATGTGGGGCCAAGTCAGCGGTCAACGCGTTGACGATCCAACGGTCAACACGGGCCGGGTCCGGCCCGGGCTCTGGTGGGCTCGGGTTGGGCGATCTGGCCGGGCCGACCCCGGACACGTGGCGGTTGTGGCTCTACGCCACGCCGTGGTCGTGGGCTCTTCTTTCGGCTGTGGGTCCACATAAAAGCGTGGTCCACGGTGGGACGCAAGTTCATGGTCCATGGACCTAAGGCGGGGTCCATGGTGGACCAAGTCCATCCTCTCTCTCTCTCTGTGGTCCACGTGCACCGGGTGCATGGGCATGTGGGCGGCGAGGGAGGTGTTTACCCCTGTTTTCATCACGGTGGTGCTCACGGCGTGCGCGAGCTCCTGATGAGCCCCGTGGTGGGCTGGTGTCCGATTGGGGAGGAAAAAGCTTCCTTGGGCCACGCGCGTGTGTCGGTTGGGGTCAAAGTGGCGGCCAGAGCTTCCCCAAGGTGTTGGCCACGGCGAGCGGCGGCTCGAGCTCCACCGGCATGCGGGAATGGCACGGGGCTGCGGCATAGGCTAGTTTTGTGGTGCGCGTGGGCGGCACAATGCCCCAACGGGCATGTTAGGCAGGTTGAGGGGTCCTCTAGGGCCTCCGGTGGCTTTGGCCACGGTGGCGCCGTTCCGATCTCGACGGCGGTACCGGTGAGGTGTCTATGGTCATGGTAAAACATCTCGGCGGGGCGTGCATGCTTCTACGGATTCGTGGGAACACGGCGAGGTCATCCAGACTCAAGGCGAGGCTCAGTTCTCCTATGGCCGGTGGGGACATCCCGGTGGCCACGGCGACGGTGAAGACGATGGCGAGGCACGCGGGTGAACCACGGGACTCCAGTGGGGTGGTCACGGCGTGCGCGTGAGTTACCCGTGGCTTCAGCGAATGGGATGGGCGAGTCAAGGAGGCACCAGGCGCTCCCAGCAGTACTGGCCACGGTGGTCGGTGCTCTGATCGGTGGTCGGGTGCTCAAACCGGTGGTCTGGTGCTCAGTACGGTGGTCTGGTGCTTGGCACGGTGGTCTGGTGCTCGGACCGGTGGTCGCGTGCTCGGACCGGTGGTTTGGTGCTTGGCACGGTGGTCTGGTGCTCGATGGTGGTCTAGTGCGCCATGGCGGCGGCGTCGACGGCGATGCGCACGCTGGTGCGCTATGGGCTCCGGTGGGGTGTCACGGCGATCTTGGTGTGCGCGTGGGTGCATGTGTTCCAAGTGGTCGAGGCAAGACATTGGCCTCGCGCTTCCTGTGTGTGGGCGCCATGGCCGTGGTGAGGTTCGGACTTCAGAGAGAGGATCGGAAGGCTCACCGTAGGTGTTGTGGGAGATAGGATGGCGGTGCGGTGTCAATTCGAGGCCGTGTAGCTCGGAAGCCGTGCTGATGCCGTCTTGACCCGATCGGTGATCTCTCCCCCCTGGCGGCGTTCTTCCCCCCCTTCTTCCTCTTCTCCATCTTCTCTCTAGGTTTGGGTGCGTAGTGGATGGCCACCGAGGTGGCGGCGGGCAATGGGATGAGCGCTAGGGCTCCGAGGACCGTGGCCTTTATAGCCGAGCTCGGCCATGGAGCTCGGTGATCGGCGGTCAGGGATCAAGGGCAATCGCGACGCTTGCTTGCATCCTACGGTCACGAGGGGTTGCGTGGGTGCGGCGCCAAGGGGGAGACAGGTCCATACCCCTGAAAATGTTTGTGAAAATATGCTAACCCATGTGCACAAGGTGATACACTTGGTGGTTGGCACATTTGAGAAAGGGTTAGGAACTTCACCGGCGAAGTGTCCGCCTGTAGAATGCGGACAGCCCGATGGTGCCACCGGCGCCCTAAACAAAAAAGACGGATGTCACTGTAAGTGACCGGACGCTGGTCTCTGTAGGACCAGTGTGTTCGGTCAGGTCAAGCATGAAGACGCTGGTCTCTGTAGGATCGGCGTGTCCGGTCAGGTGAAGCATAAAGACGATGGCGTCGGTCTATGACCGGATGCTAGGTCACTTAGTGACCGGACACTGGAGGGGTGCGTTCGGTCTTACTGATGTGACAGCGCACAGAAGAGTCATCGTGTGACCGAACGTTGGGTGAGTCCGGTCGAGCATGACCGGACGCGTTCGGTCGTGAAAAGTTGTCTCTGGATGCTTACTAGAAACGACCGGACGCTGGGGTTCAGCGTCCGATCACTTTAAGTTGCTGCATCCGGTCATCACTTGACCGTTGAGATCGGGCGATCTATATTTGAAGAGAGGGGACACGTGGCACGCATCGCATGATCAGACGCTGAGGTCCAGCGTCCGGTCAATATGACCGGAGCGTCCGGTCACGCCGCGTTGTGCCCAGTGAAGGGATACAATGGCTCTATTTCGTGGGGGCTTCTATTTAAGGCCCATGGCCGACTCAAGCTCACCCTCTTGGCTATTTGTATTAACATAGGAACCTTGTGAGCTTAGCCAAAGCCCTCCCACTCATCTCCATCATTGATTCATCATCTTTGTGAGATTGGGAGAGAATCCAAGTGCATTGCTTGAGTGTTTGCATCTAGAGGCACTTGATGTTCGTGTTTCGCTGTGGGATTTGCTTGTTACTCTTGGTGGTTGCCGCCACCTAGACGGCTTGGAGCAGCGAGGATCGTCGAGCGGAGGTTGGTGATTGTCTCCGGCTCCGATCGTGGTGATTGTGAGGGGTTCTTGACCTTTCCCCGGTGGAGAGCAAAAAGGTACTCTAGTGGATTGCTCGTGGCTTGTGTGATTCTCATCTTGTGTTGGTTGTGCGGCTCCCTATTGAGAGTTTGGCGTGTGATGCCAATTAGCGCGTGAACCTCCAAGTGAGTGAATCGCCACAACAAGGAGTAGCTTGCCGGCAAGCAAGTGAACATCGGTAAAAAATCATTGTGTTCATCCTTTGATTCTGAGGTGATTGGTCTTCATTGTTATTCATTCTTGTGATTGATTGGCTCCTTCCTCGACACGGCGGTATAACCTTCTTGCTCACTTTCTTTACATTACCGCAAACTAGTTCTCAAGCTCTTTAGTGTAGCTAGTTGTGAGAGCTTGTTAGTTTGATTAGTGTGGCTCTTTAGTTAGCCTTTGAGAGCACACTAACTTAGTGTAGTGACATAGCTATTATGTGGATAGAAACTATATCAACTAGAATTGTGGTAGGTGGCTTGCAATTTTAGTAGGCTAGCGCAACACTTGCTTCGCCTCATAATTATCTAACCGGTTTGTTAAGTGTTGTTATAGAAATTTTTATTAGGCTATTCACCCCCCTCTAGCCATTAGGACCTTTCAACAAGCGACAAAACTCAGCCCCTCCGGTTGTGAGGAACCGAGGATGAGGTAACGCACACCACTCACACCGACCCCCACTAAATCCCAACAGGGCTCGGGGGCTCAAGACACGAAAAGCCTGGGTCTCACTACAAAAAATCCTTCTTTTTATGACAAATTCCCTTATGACGGGTCCTATTTTTGTCATGTAATGTAATATAATGTGACGAAAAAATATTGGTCGTGATAATTTTATGAGCCCCAGTAGCATTTGTGATGACATCATATATAGTGTCACAAAAAAGTAACAAATTTCGTCACTACATGTTAGGCGCTAGGAGCCGATTGACGACTTGTTTTTTGTGACGCCATATGCTAGTTTTATGTGATAGTTTGTCGATGTCACTTTATCATCTTTCAAAAAATGACCGGCCCCAACGTCAATATACCCCCCTGAAGGTGGACCCTACCTCCTTGCTGTTGACCAATTTCATTTTTCCCATCTCCCCTGACCGAACTGAAGAAGGAGGCGAGCGAAGGGCGGCGAGACTCTAGCGGTGCGGCAGGCGGCGAGCGGAGGGCGGTGAGCGGTGGTTGGCGTCTGTGCGGAGCACGGCCGTGGTCGAGCAGGCTCTGGGCGAAGCCGGCTCGCCCTCTCCCCAGGTAACGGCGAGGCAGTGGGTTGAGGCAGCGCGAGATCCGCCGCCAGGACAGCCGGCGAGCGCAGATCACCGGTGAACGTCACCACTGCCTCAGGTTGGTAGGTGGTGGCGCATGGTGGGCAGTGCTGCCATCAATCCCCTCCCCATTCGCCTCCATTTGCTCGGCTATGGCGCCCTCATCCCCCTCCCTGTTCTTCTTTCTTCTGCTCATTGCTCTACTGTCAATCCGATGTGCAATTCCTAATCAATTTCTTGTGTATCAATCAGGACTCATGTCTCAGGCGTCGTCATCTACCACTCGCACTAGGCGGTCTAGCGCAGCTAGGGTTGCCCTGCAACCTGCACCCCTTGTTGTTGCTGCTGCAGCTCCTCTGCCCACGGCCATCGATCTAGAGACGCTGATTGATGATGTGAGCGGGTTGCCGTTGATTATGTGCCCAGATTGCAAGGATGTCAGGGTCTTTGCTGCCAATACCACGCAGTCTGGGTTGAACTTTGGAAAGAGATATTTCAAGTGCCCTAGGAAGAACTATCAAAATGTCAGTGTTATAATCATTTCAATCTTGTTTGAATGGGCATGCTTGAGAATGGTAGTGTTTTTAGCATTCAGTTGATGTAGTGTATTGATTTTAATTTCCCTGTTGTTTAAATTTGGATGTAGGGGACATGTGCTAGGTATTGGTTTGAGGAAGAATATGTGGTGTTCCTTCTTGATAATGGTTATCTACCATCAGCTGCTTCTATCATTGCACCAGCTTCGACAACTGAAGTTCCTGAGCTTGTTGGAAAAATTGATAGCTTAGAGCAGAGTCTGAACAAGGTGAAGGAAATGGTTAGCAAGAACAGGGAAGGCATGGGAAGCTGCATTTGTCTTGTATGTGGTTGTCTGAATGTAACATTCCTGGTGCTGGCCATTCTTTTGGTTGTAATTGTAATGTTGAAGTAGGCAATGATGATGTAGCAGGACATGCTGTGAAGTGGGTTGGATATGTTTGCCACATTTGATATGCTTTTGGCTATGATGATGAAGTAGGCTAGCTAGGACATGTAGTGAACCTACTGTCCAGGATGTATTTGTAGTTGGTATGAAAATATGGGCCTTCGTGCTCTTGGACTTCTCTTGTGTAACCTGTACATTTCTGATGTATGTTGGAAATAAAGATCCCTTTTGCTTATGATGATTTACTTGTGTGGAATGAATTTTTGGCTGCATGTCTGTAACTTCTAGGCTATACATTTTGTGACAGATTCTGTACATTCCATGATAGATTCTAGGCATTACATGACATTATCATGTGTCATGAAAACACAACAATCTGGGCACTATATATAACTTGCATCATGTGAATGAAGTCTGGGCACTATATATAACTTGCATCATGTGAATGAAATCTGGGCACTGTAACTTCCATCCACTGAAAACAGAGTCATTGCATATAAGGTCTTACAATTTCATAATTCAGATATAAATGTAGTAGCATAATTCAAATACAACAATATCAATAATAGAAAAGTTCATGGTTCACAAATCTCTAGAAATGTAAAGGTCAGTCATCATCACTGTCTTCTCCTGAAGTATTGCCTTCTTCAGGACTATGGTACCCAAGGTAGGTTTCATCTTCATCTTCATCATCGCCGTATGTTTCATCACCTTGAGTTGTATGTTTTTGTCGACGGATGCTCTCGACGAGGTCTCTACTAACAGGGCTGCCTGGTTCATTATCCATGCGCAACAAATCCATATCAGGATGAATGTCTCCCACTGCACCATCTCTTGATGAAGTATGCTCCTCTTGGTATGCCTTCAGACATCTCATCTGTACTTGTTCATGGATTGGTTGGTTTGTGTCGGTCTCTTCAACATCAAATATATGTTGGTGGCCAAATTCTTGTACCACTCGCCAACATGGACCTAACTTTGTATCTTCCAAGAAAAATACTTGTGAAGCATCTGTGGCTATAATGAAAGGATCATTCTTATACCATCGGCCTTGGCTATTTATGCTCTTGAAGTAACCATCATCTTTCAGCTGGTATGTCTTTCCCTCTAGATTGTACCATTCACACCGTAATAAGATAACAGTTCAACGCCCTTTGCTGTTCTTACTATAACTCAACTCAATAATGTCTGTGATTGTCCCATAGAAGTCAATTGTGTCACCACCGTGAGTACTTGCAGTTTTGATGGTGGAATTCTGTGTCTTCTTGTGTTCGTCACAAGCCATAGTGTGGTACCGTACCCCATTGATTATGCAGGCTATGTATGAACGCACTCGCGGATCCGGCCGACATGCTAGTGAGTACAGGTCTTCATCAACATGTGTTATGCCTTCATATTTCAATTTCATAATCTGCAGGTTGTAAACATACAAAATTATTGAGTTTCAGAGTGTATTGTATCATAAATTATTAAGTCATGTTGTGGAAGCTGCACACACATGATTCTCAAACTATGCAGCGAATTGTGTTGACATCATTTTTTCAACATCGTTGACCTCTTGTTGTTCTAATTCTGCCCTATACATGCTGCAAAGGAAGAAGATAGTCTTTTTGTGACACTTGTTTTGAATAAAGATGGCTCAAATGAAATTACAGCAATTACTCACTCTTTGTATTCATCAACCTCTTCGCAGTTATTTAGAACAAACCAAACCATGGAGTCATAGTCTTTGTCTTCATAATGAAGTTTTGAAGCACCCAACAGGTTAACACCATGACCAAAAATAGAGTAACCATTGGGTGAGATGTTCTTTTCTCCATCCAAGTATCTTTCAGGCCTAGTGAACCTATTAATAATGTCTTTGAAATATGTTGAGCACTTTGGGTCATACACTCATAGGCGAGTGTATGCCTCGCAATAGAACCTTTAGGTCTTGCTTTATTGCATGATTTAAACGCTTAAAGGTGCCCAATCTTCTCTCAATGGGGTACATCCATCCATCTGCACCGGTCCCCTAAGGAGTGCCTCATCGTAAGTAAGTGAAGCTGCTAGGTGAACCATAACATCGAAGAATGCAGGAGGATAAATTTTCTCTAGCTTGCAAAGGATAAGCACAATATCTTCCTTCATTTGTTTTAGTGCATCAACCTTTAGAGTTTTTGAGCAAAGTTGTCTAAAAACCTACCCAACTCAAGCAATTACTTCATATCGTCTTTTCGCACCAAACCACGAAGTCCAAATTTGGTAAAATACGCTGCAGATAGTATATGATGACCATGTGTTTTCAGCCCATGCATTGATCCTCCTCCCTCCATATTGACACATCTTGATATATTGGAGGCATAGCCATCTGGAAACTTAACATTGCTCACAAATTGCAAGAACTTCTTCTTTGCTTCTGGTGTTAGAACGTAACAAGCTCTTGGCTTTGAGGATGCAGCACCAGTGTCATCTAACAAATGAAGCTCTTTTCTTATACCTCTTTCTTCCAAATCTACTCTAGTAGCAATTGTGTCATTTGTCTTGTTCGGAATATTAAGTAGAGTTGACAAAATGTTTTCACATATGTTTTTCTCTATATGCATAACATCAAGGTTGTACTGTAGCTTCAATTTTGACTAGTATGGCAAATCATGCAAGCTAACCTTCAGATGCCAAACTGGTTCTCCACCACGGCGTTGTTTTCTTGATTTCGGCTTATCTGGATTCTTGCCAGGAACATAGCAAACTTCATCCAACCTTGCCATAACCTCATCTGCACTAAATTTCCTTGGTTGCTCCCTATTTTCATGGTGGCCATTGAAAGATCTATTTTTCCTCCACGGATGGTTGTTTGGGAGGAAACGTCTATGGCCTATGAATCCAATTTTGTTGGTCAGACATTCGGAGCATGGATTCTCATCACAGTGCACACATGCGAAGTAACCCTTAGTGCTTCTGCCTAACATGGTACCTAATGCAGGGTAGTCATGGATTCCCCACAGAATCGATGCACGTAGACTGAAGTCTTTGCCTTCATATGCATCATAAGTAGGGACACCATTCCAAAGAGTTAGCATGTCTGCTATCAAAGGCTGCATGAACACATGGAAATCTTTGCCCGGTGATTTTTTGCTAGGAATTAGTAAAGCAAGCATGTAATTGGATTGGTCCATACACATCCATGGTGGAAAATTGTATGGAACCACTATCACTGGCCAGATGCTATATGAATTGGTCATCTGACCAAATGGGTTAAATCCATCAGTAGCAATGGCAAGCCTCAAACTGCGAGGATCATCTGCAAAAGACTTGAAAGTATCATCAAATTCTTTCCAAGCTTCTCCATCAGCAGGATGTCTCATTTCATTCTCAACTGCTACCCTCTTTTCCTTGTGCCATATTGCATATTGTGCCCGCTGCTTTGAGATAAAAAGCCTTTGGAGGCGTGGAATTATTGGAAAGTAACGGAGGACCTTGTGAGGAACTTTCTTTTTGCCCTCCTTGTTCACTTTCCATCTTGTGAAGCCACAAACTAGGCAATGATCATCCTCTTCATGGTCTTTCCAAAATAAGGCACAGCATACTTGCACACATGAATAGAAACATAACCAAAACCAAGCTTCCGAAGTAGAGCTTTCATTTCATTATAGGACTTAGGGAGGCCGGTCACATTTTTGAATGATGTTGAAAGCAACTCAAGCATTGCATCAAACCCAGAATTTGTTATCCGATTGTACACTTTTATATGCAGCATTTTAATAATGAAACTTAGCCTAGACTCCTCGGTGCAACCTGGATAAAGTTCACGCTTTGCCTCTTCCATGATTTGCTTATATAAGTTGGCACCGACGCCATGGCTTGCTACGGTGTACAGATCTTGAATCAAACCCTGAACTCCCCGTTCACTATCATCTAATATGACATCTTCAGCTTGTCCTTCATCATCAAGTGGAGCCTGGTCATTTCCATCCCATGACATATCTTCAGGTACAACAGGGAGTTCTCCATCTTGTACAACATTATTATCTCCCTCTCCATGGTGAATCCAACTTGTGTACATTTTAGAAATACCATTGATTTCTATATGCTCTTGTACCTCAGCTTGACTTTTATCTCTTTGGTTCAGGCATTTGCGGCATGGGCACTTGATTTCCTCATGAGGCCTATATCTAGCTCTGACATGTGCCATGAACTGTTCAACACCATCCATATAGGCAGGAGTAAATGGCGCACTATTATAAACCTAGCTCCTATCCATCTGGGCAATGTAAGTGCCAAGAATTTAAAAATCATGATGTGGACAAATTATGTTTATGCTTCATATATGTTGAAAAATCAACCTTGAACAATGGCTGCCGAGCCAGTGGCAAGCAGATGGGCTGGGCTACGAGGCTTCAGCAGCTCCTCTGGCAGGCCGGAGATGCACCAGCTGTGGTGGCCGATGAGGCTTTAGCAGCTGGCCAGGCGCTGAGCAGGTGGCTAGGCGAGGAGCAGCCGACTGGCGACACGCTGGGACCTGAGAGGAGGAGCAGGCATCTAGGCGAGGGAGCAGTCAAGGTCAGCGCGCTGGGACCTGAGAGGAGGAGTAGCTTCACGCGGTCGCCCCCTAGCGCGCGCTCATCGAGCCCTAGCGAGGAGCACGTGGGGTATGGTGTCGCCGGCGAGGAGCAGGTGGGATAGGGGTCGCCGGCTATGGAGCAGGTGGGGGTGGTCGGCGTGGAGCAAGTGGCCAGATGTGGCCGGCCTCAACACATTTGTGTCTTAGCCAGTATGCTAAGTATGCCTTGGTACACACATGTGGCCCCTGCAAGTGGAGCAAAGTTTCTATGACAGGTGGGGCCTTCATGGTATTTAGGCCTTCATTGTGCAAAGCTCATTTCTGTTTTTGATCTTTGGTAAAAAATTGTAACTAGTATTACTCCCACATACATGCTCCAAATTTGATGTTTTTTTTCTAAAATTTTCTAAAATCATGATGTATCCATTAGTTGCATTGAGTTTGGTCATATTTGAATGTAACAAAA